TCATTATAGTTGTGCTTTTAAAATTGTAGCAACGTTTCGGCAGAATCTCATCTGCCATCATCAGGCTTCTGTATTGTGTTCGTCTGTGAGTCAGACTTTCACAGCCGTTATGACTCACAGACGCACACAATACAGAAGCCTGATGATGGCAGATGAGATTCTGCCGAAGCGTTGCTACAACTTTAAAAGCACAACTATAATGATGTGGGAAAATACCCGAACAAAGCTGAACACCATACATGTAAGTACCCGCGAAAACTTAAGAAAGGAATGAAGGAAGGAACGAAGGAATCATTACAGTCAAAGATTAGCCAGAGATTTCAATAAAGTAGAAGGGCTAGCTTTGTTTTTTTGTAATGACAGGTTTAGTTTATAATCAATGAATCAATGAAAATTCACATCATCAAAAAGGAGTTTAATGTAGGACATTTGAAGACAATTTATTTTGCATCTAAACATAAAATCAATGCTCTGCTTATGTTTGCCTGACAGATCAAGCCATAATATAGCTCAGCTAACAATAAGCAAACTGCACTCGCTAGCTATTCCTAGGGTACGCTTCATTGACAATCTATAGCAGCGGTTGGCTGGGGAATTCTGGAAGTTGATGTCCACATATCTTAAAGTTGTCAAGATTGAGAAACACTGATCTATAGAAACTTAGTTTCCAAAAATGTAAGTTAAAATTAAAATTCATTATGGAAGGGAAGGCAGGAGTGTGAGAGGAATCAATATATGGGAAAAGTCGGGGGAGGGGAAATTAAGCAAAATATATTTTATATCATGGACATGTACATCTTCTTTTATTCATACTCAGTCTTCCCCTTTGCTCCACTCATACACAGTTCACAAGGTCCACATGCAATTCACAACTTACAGGCTGTGAACTCAACATTTAGCATTTTCTTTGATCCAGGATCTCTGGCTTACTCTCTGCAGCACCACCCATAATTTGCTAGCCCTGCTCATTTACAAGAAGAACCAGCAGATGTGATCATGCATGCTCACACATAAGCTTTAGCAAAGCTTAGCAAGCCATGTGAATAGTGCAATGTAAAAGGAACATAAAGAAATCAGTCAGATAGCAGCACAGTGGACCTTTGTAATGTTTTCCGTGCAAAAAATATTACACATCAGAAGTGCCTTTGCCAAACAAATGACACTTCAAACTAGAGAGAGTGCAATTACTTGGAACAAGGCCAGGCAAAAGTAGTTCCCTCATCCAATGTGTTGAAGGAGCCTTACCTTCACACAGTGAGAGACCCTGCCGGATAGCTCTTTCCCACGCCATTCGTGTTGTATCAGAAACACCACTTTGTGACCAGTTTTAAAAGTGGGACAATGCTAGCTGCAGGATGTCATGGATCTACCTCCCCTCCCCATTTGCTGGATAATTCCTCTGGGCAAAGGACATGTCCAGGCGTGCCTAAGATTAAAAGCAACCCAAATATTTATATTCCAGCTGTTTTCCTTGTGACTTGTCCTAATGCTACCAGTACAGTACAAATCAAGCCGAATACAGTAGAAATCAACAGGAATTCAAGGCAAGCATGGGTCAGTTTAAATCACCCACTTTGGAAGCTTATCTAGAGGAACACTGTTGGTGAACCTGTTTTGCCTCCTTTAAATTCATGGTGAAAAGGCCATATCTTACAGCAAGGAATATTTTAATAAAATATTCAAGTTCCTAACAGTTTGTGTAGCTAAATATGATATGTTTTAATTAATAGAGACTAGGTTATATTTTATTTTGAAATGTAATTGATTTTATTTGTTGTTTTGCCTAGCTTCAGGAATGATCTTATTCACACATGGATGGGGCTGTTGATTATCCATGCCTATTTTATTTCTTGCATGAAAAAAAAAAAAAAAAGAAATCTCTGAAAAAAATCCCAATCCTCTTCCAGAAGAGCAGTCCTTGGGGCTGTATTCTCATGAAGGGGTGAGACAATCATGAATGGTTTAATCATACTAACATATCCACTTAAAAAAAAAATTGATACCTAAGCAATAGTAAAATTACTAGATCTGGGCTGGAAAGACGGCATCAAAGACTTAGGAACTTTCAAAAATCTCTTTTGCCTGGCAGCCTGTTTTACTTCACAGGGCTGAAGGTTCAGCTTCTCCCAGGATGATCGGAAGACCCCCTCCACCCCCAAGTGTACCACTTGCTTGAAACAAAGGCTTGCTTTGAAATGGCACAAAAGATTTTTAATTTACAGGTAGCGCAGCATCACAAACTGGAAAAAGAGGGAACGGAGGGAGGCTCAGTAAAGAAGCGACAAAGCTGTCAAAATCCATAAAACGATTTTGCTGAACTGTTGGCAGTTCCTTCCCTTTGCAAATTTAACAAGAGGACAGCAGGAACCATGGAAGGAGCGAAACAGAGCTGTCAGAGCAGAGGAGGAGAATGTAACAGGAAGGCCATGGAACCATGCTTGCCTTACTGAAGAAGGTAGAGTCAAATGTATCCATGCCATCTACCACATCATCGTCCATGGAGCTAGGATACAAAAAGCTCCGTTTGTTGCCTCTGCGTTTTTGCACTGAAGGATCCAGAACGGAACGCCCCTATTGTAAGAAACAAGCTGGAATTAGTGAATGGTCAGGTTCAAAACACTCCCTATCAATGATTCAGTCTATTATCAAGCAACTTCAACTCCAATTAGAGTTATGGGGATACAATCAGTCCTGAAGTTTCCTTCCAAAAGGGGAAGATGCCTACTAAAGAAGGCTCAGGACTTGGCACATGATTAAACGCTCTGGAGCTGTATCCAAACAGGTGTGAGATATAGTTTAAGTCAAGATAGCTACAGGCTTCATTTCAGTAAATCTGTTTTGTGGCATGGTCCATTGGGTATAAGCCAATTATATTAATATTGGTTCCAATTATGAAGTAGGAGGTTTTACATAGCATCCACCTTCCAGCCAAATGTCGCTAAATCTATCTTTCCATTCTTTTTCTGTGCAGTACAACAGCTCCCTCTGGTGATACCTGTATTCTGAATTGAGACTATGCTTTCACTTCTATTATGCACCTACCTATTTGGGTTTCAAGTCTTATAAGGGGAATATACCATCATTGTGTGCCTATTTGTATTCCCACCAAACACAATTTTCTTTTTTTGATCGTGGCCTTTCTCAGGACAACCCATTTCATAACCCTCAACTTTAAGAAGCTTGGAGTATGAAAATCATCAAAGTCTGTCAAGGCAATTATACTTTCATGGATTCACTGAATTCCAGAGTTCAAATACAAACTTAGAAGCACCAGCATAACAAAATATAATATATATAATAGATATCTTTTTCAAAAGTAAAATAAAATCGATTCTCCAGTCTCGCTGAAAATAGGATTTAATGTGACGTTTCAGAAAAATCATCCCCAGGAACTGTAGAGAATCCAGCAAAAAACATAAATGCCCTCCCACCCAATATAACTCCAGACACATATGGCAATCTCAGAAGTAGAAAAATTACTTGGAGAGATAATTGCAAACTGGGATTTAATTTATTTTCCATTTCAAATTTGAACTGAAATCCTGTATATCTACAACTTTTTTTCCCTCTCCAGAAAAGATAAGGAAGCAGCACATTGATATCACATCCTTGACACCATTATTTAAGAAGTAAAGAACGGAAGCTCAGAGTTTTACCACAAAACTAGAACTCACTCTGATAATTGCTGCAGCTGCCTTAAAGCTCATATGGGCCACGGATTCCCTTTTCCTGCGGGGCAGGTGGGTGTAGCCTGACCGTACACTACCTAATGATGTCAAGGACACAACACCAGGAGTCAGAGGGGGGAGGACAGGATGTGGGGTTCGTGGACGATCCACTTCATCTGGGTGCCTGAAGGGACGGCCTCGGGCCAAAGGATCTACAATCTGAAAGGATAAAACAATTGAAACAATTAGTCTCGTACTCAGCGCTGAAATGGAACAGGAATGTTGCTTTAAATTTTAATCGTATCAACCATGGGATGGTGCCTTAGACAAATGTTTGATTCCCCTCCCATCATAGGATTTCTTCTGACCAACATCTCTCTGATCCCTTTCAATGTTTTTCCCCATCATCTGATATAGAGTCCTTTTAAACAGATGACGTTTCTCTCTGAGAATATGGCTGCCCATCACACCTTTAAATTTCCTTACAGGAAGGGAGAATTAGGATCAACTCTTTCATTCAGCAGGAGGAGGCCATCATCTCAGTGCCAAATGAGGTGGGATAATAACAGGAAATTTCCTTCACAGCCATAAACTGGCCTCCTGAACATCTTATTCTTCACCTCAGCTAATCCGATAGGATTTCCTCTGGCTGACGGTGGCTTCCCAGACCCTGAGGTGGAGCTTGTTATTGCCTGATACCAGACTTTTTCACTTGGCAGTGAGCTAAACTTGGAGATCTTCAAAAGAGGAAGTTCCGACTTTCTGGTGGCCCTTTCCCCTCAAGCTGTACATCTAATACATGGATTATAAATTCTTTTCTACAGCCAAATCTAGCATGCCTGTTTGTCTGCGTTACCGACCCTCTTGTGCAATGACACCTACCTTGGGCATTTTTGTTGGCTTTGGGGATTCTGTGCCTTGGAAAGAAGGCACCTCCTGGCTGTTCACTTCTATTTCCCTGTAGGCAGGTTTGAGTTTTCCATAGCGCAGGCTGCAGTGCTGAAGGCTCTTGCGCTGCCAATTCTGCTGTTTTCCATCCCAGTCATTGCTGACGCCAAACCACTGCGCTGCTCCTCTGAGTATAGCAAAGAGGAGACAAATGTCACAAGGCATCCATGGCTTCACAAGCAACATCAAGGTTTTAGGAAACTAACTGCCCCCCGCACCTAATCCACCCAGGCCCAAACATTTATCCAGTTTTGCTTCCAGGAATGGAAGATCTATGGATGTGTTTTCGCAGATGGAAGGGGTTGGGGGGTGGGGATTGTAGGGAACACTTTTAAAGCTGACATAATAAACATGAAGAATTGTGGATAGAAATATCCATTTTTTGTTCATCAAATCTTCAAAATAAGTTTAAGGGGGGAAAAACCAGAATCTAGTCTGTGATAAAGCACACCAATTTGATGGTGGGGCTAAGTCACTTTTTATGGATTAGATTTTCTTCTGTTTATCTTCCTTCTTAGCATCTGTAAATTGTTATGGCTCTGTTCTATGAAAAGCCATTGTCATGCCCATGGTGGAGACTGACTCTGAGGGAGAGGAGGAACAGCTGCGCGGCAGGGAGTGGAAGTGTGGCTCCGGAGGTTGTGGAGGAGGCTGGGGAAGAGCAGAGGCCGGCTGAGCAGTCAGAGGAGGACCCAGGCCCATCCCCTCTCCATCCTAGGGCATGCAGGGAGGAGAGGATAAGGGAGAGACTTGGTCTACTCAGGAGGAGAGGGCCTTGATCCTCTTCAAGGGCTGCAGCTGTAACAATTGAATAAGAGAACGGACATGCGTACAGGTGAGCGCTGAAAACAAAGCATGGAAATATCTCTAGTTTATGGTTCCTCTCTGAGTTTGGCGTCCTTCCCAGTGTGTGTTCTGTTATCTGTGGACGTCCTCCAGCCCTTATCTTGCCTGGTTTGTGTTGCTTTTTTCCTCCTTCTTGTAATTGTTTGTGTGGGAGTTTTTTGTCTTCAGTCAAGGATATTTGGAGCTTGGAAGCAAAGTGAAGGAATAAAATGGGTTTCACCTGTTTTCTGTGACTGTGTTTGTTTTGTATCCTACCCTGGGTCATCACAGCCATGGTCATTCTTAACAACTGAGAGAAGGAATAACACAGCTATCTCACATACAGGTTGTGCTTGGCTTACAACCATTTATTTAAGGATGGTTCAAAATTACTACAGCCTCAGAAAAAGTGGCACCTGTCTTTGAAGTTGCAACCCTTGTGTGATCCCTGCAGTCATGTGATTGCATTTTGGGGCACTTGACCAACTAGCTTGCATTTATAATGGTTACAGCCTATTGCAGACATGTGATCACAATTTGTGAACTTCTCAGCCAGCTTCTGACAAGAAAAGTCAACTGGGGATGTCAGATTCACTTAATGACCACATGATTCACATAAGAACCATGTAATTTGCTTAATAACTGTGATGAATTTCCTTAACAACCATGATAAAAATTATCGTAAAATTAAGCCTTATCATGGGATGACTCATTTAATGACCATATGGATTAGCAACTAAAATCTCAATTGCAAGATGAGCAAGTTGAGATCTAACTATAATGTAAAATAGCTCACAAGAAATAGTCGATATTTCAGCCTTATTTCCCCTTGTTTGACACTGGTCTCAGTTTTGAGCAAGGTCCAGGTTCGAGCACTGGCTAATCTTTTAAAGCAATAGCAATAGCACTTAGACTTATATACCACTTCACAGTGCTTTAAAGCCCTCCCTAAGTGGTTTTTTAGAGTCAGCATATTGTCCCCAACAACCTCATTTTACCGACCTTGGAAGGATGGAAGGCTGAGTCAACCTTGAACTAGTGTGAATCGAACTGCTGGCAGTCAGCAGAATTAGCCTGCAGTACTGCATTCTAACCACTGCACCACCACGACTCTTAAAGCACTGATTGCAAACATCATGGCATTCAATTAAACTGGGAGCCTGTATGTTCTCAAGAGGAAAGTGTGCTTAGTGTACAAATGAATTCAGTGAGTCTATGTTCACTTACAAGGACCGGAAAGAGCTTCAAAAATATCTACCAAGTCTTTTTAATGTTACTTACAGCACAGCATGCACAAAAATCAAACACTCACAGACTCACAAATTATCCCCAGCTGTTGGTTATATTTCATATTACACCATTGCTTTGTTTTTAAATGCTGTAAGCTGCCCAGAGTCATGATTATGAGATGGGTAGCTTGAATAAATAGAAGAAATCAGACAAATAAATAATGACAAGTTAACACGTTATTAGGATAAAGTTCTCCTTACTTGCGAATACTCTGGGACAATGAGGTTTGTCTATGCAAGGCGGGATGTCTTTCAAAGTTGCTGCCCTGTCTTTTCAACCTCGACTCCTGGAGGCTCACACTTTTTTGAAGAGCTGGGTTCTTTTTCAGAAGCTAAAAAGAGACATTGAGGTCATCAGCAAAGAAGTTGGGGAGGGCGAGTTGATCCAGAGACCACTCCACTATCCACACAAATTGTGAATTCTCAAAAAAAAAAAAAAATCATACTTCTTGATCAGGGAGGGATCAGGATGTATTCTTCAGTTCATGGCTAGATAAGCAAGCTGATTAATCAGGCATAGATATTTGTGTGAGGGTAAAATGGTACACAGATCAAATTACACACTTGCCTCTGAGCAGTTTATAACCAGTGAAAGAGAAAAGGAAAAAATGCAATGGCATAAGGGATGGGATGGGATGGATGACATTTTCTACTTCCGGAAGTGCAACATTCACAAAAAAATCTCTGTAGAATACCAAAGAACTGGCTGGAGCTTACAAAAGATTTTACCTTATACTGCACTTATATGATCCATTCTACCTTGTTACTAGCCTAGTGAGTATGCACAGCAGAATAGATAATACTTTGAAATGGTGCGGTATAGCAAGCCAATGTAATAAAAGCTAAGGCAGGGGTGTAGGCGTGGGATTCAAATTTTTTAACAATCGGTTCTGTGAGTGTGGCTTAGTTGGTGGGCGTGGCTTGGTGGTCATGTTATTGGCTGGGTATGGCCAATTTAATATCACTCACATTGAGGCGTGCATCTCCTCGCCTGGCCTCTCATGACTGTGGGGATGCTGCAATAGTTGTAAGTGTGAAAAATGGTCATAAGTCACTTTTTTCAGTGCCATTGTAACTTTGAATGGTCACTCCACACAAGCAAAGTGCCAGCAAAGGAGGGGGAAAAAACTCTAGAGAAGTTCCTGAGACAGGAAGTCTAGTCCTGCCAAGAATGTAATAAGGGTTAACGGAGAGGCAGTTTCTGTAAGCAACACCAGAATGTTTCCTTCCTGCCTTCCTTACAGGATTAGGCCAGTAATTTCTTCTAACAACCGGTTCTCCGAACTGCTTAGAATGTTAACAACCGCTTCTAGCGAATAGGTGCGAACTGGTACAATCCCACCCCTGCAGGGGTGTCAAAATCAAGGCACGGGGCCCAGATCTGGCCCAAGGGGTGCTTAGAGTTGGCCCGTGGGGCTGCCCTGGAAAAAGCGAAGGGCCGGTCCGTGATGCCTTTGCCAGCAAAAACGGGGTCCTGAGCTCCATTTTCAGCTGCGACAGTCTCCTGCAACCCTCTGCCAGTGAAAATGGAGCTCGGGAGCCCCTATTTTGCTGCCAGAGCACTCGGGCCACAAGACACCCCGAACATGAGTGATGTCGAGCTGACCATGCCCACCTTGGCCACACACCCCAGCCCCCCCACACACACACTGAGGTCAAACACAAACCTGATGCTACTCTCAATGAAATCAAGTTTGACACCCCTGAGCTAAGGTAATTCAACTGGCTGATTATCTCAAAGATTATTACTACACAGTGGCTTTTGGGCAGACGGTCCATCTAAAGACAGATTAGACAATCTGGATTCGGGAATAGTTTACTGGAACGAATCAAGTCTGATCAACAAGATCCAGTTTAGCCTGAACCTCTTAACAACCACCCTATAAGGAGAGAACACCGCACCATATTTGCATGTTTGAATACTGTAGCCAGAAGACGTGAATACACTCTTATTAGACCAGGGGTCCCCAACCACCAGTCTCCGGACCAGTACCGGTCCGTGGATCATTTTTTACCGGGCTGCAAAGCTTGGGCGCTGCCATCTTGTTTCGACGGCACTTCCGGGTTTTCGGTTGCTTCCGGGTTTTCGGTTGGAAAGCGGCGTTTGGGTGCTCGCGCCTTAGTTTTGTCAAAGGGGGGGCGGCTTCGAACGAAGAGCCGTCCCGATGGCAGTGGAGTCTCGTGTTACTCAGGTACCGGTCCATGGAAGAATAAATAATCGTGAAACCGGTCCCTGGTTCAAAAAAGGTTGGGGGCCACTGTATTAGACAACTTACATCCTGCCTCTCATCTTCTCCTTTCAGGGAAGGTTCTACAGAAGACGATAGGCACAAAAGATCCTGGCTGAAGCAGATTATCTAGAATGGGTGGAGATGGTATGATTGTTTTTGTGGGTCAACAGGATTAAAACTTGACTGGGGAGTGCAACTCCTGTTTTCCTATTAGATCTTCCAGCAACGTTTGAAGTTGTGGAGCATTGTATCCTTCTGCACAAAGGTTGAGAGTTAGGAGAGCTGTATTTCAGTGGTCCCACTCCCTTCTCGGGTGTCATCGTGTTAACACAAGCCTATGATGGTGGGGTTGAACAATGAACCAGTAAACAATCCATGATCATTCCCATATGGGAGGTGAAAGCCAGTTCTTTGAGACTCAAAACAACGGCTCATATCAGATTGCTTCCAAGAGTGAAACAGGTCATAAGGAGCATTTGTGAAGTGTTTTAACTTAGAGCAACTGGCTTTTAAGCACCAACCACGGCTTTGTGCTTGAAACAGCCCGGTTTCACACTTGAAAGGAGAATGTTTTGATCTTGAAGCATTTTTTTTGCACTACTATAATGTATGATTATAAGAGACATCTTTTCAGATAGCACATAACATTGGAAATCTCACAGACGTTTATGGATCTCAGTAATTCATACCATTGTTTGGCTGCTTTCCTCTTCGGTCTTCACTGGTGGGATCATGATAGAGAGGTTGGGGGGCTTCTTGCTCTGAAGTCGACTGTTGCTGGTGCTAGAACGGCTGCTTCCATTTTTATCACTGTCTGCCATCTTGGACCAGAAGGTATTTGACTACCTGTAATAAAGAAAGAAGCAAGGAATTTAAAACTGAGTACTCCCTTGCGTTTTTTTGATTAAAGGCAATCTTCCCCACATTTAAAGGCATCCTCTTTGTAACTTCCAACCATCACCCCCAGCCACCAGAGGAAATGCAGTCTCAACATACTTTGAAAGCTTCAGGTTGGGAAAGAAGACTTAGGAAGGGTGATGGATCAATAGATTAACATATTAGACATTTATTGAGCAACAATAAATGGTTTCAGGGAGGCACAGCAGCTTGGTAATGTGATTAAATAACTAATTAGTTTTGGTTCGCAGGTCTGCAACTCTAGGTGCCTAAAAACAAACAATATCGAAACAATATAAAAACTCTAAGGACACTCAGGCAAAAATAAATAAATAACAATAATGCAAAACTACAACTAAACTGTTTTTACCCTCCAGCTCAGGAACACATAATTTAGACATCAACCAGATAGCTTTGATTAATCAATATTTATTTATTTTAATTCATTTGTACCCTGCCTTCCTAATATGACTAAGCTAGTAAGGGGGATTTCAATAGTATGGTTACAGGTAGTCCTCCCTTAATTGACAGTCTTGTTTAGCAACGGTTCAAAGTTGTGAGGGTGCTGAAAAGCAATTTTATGGCTGCCCCTCATACTTACTACTGTTATAGCATCCCTGCAGTCATGTGACTACATTGGTAAATGCCACAGCATCCCACAATCACATGATTGCCACCTGTGAGCTTCACAGTCAGCTTCTAGACTAGGGGTTTCCAAACATAGCCCTTTTAAGACTTGTAGACTTCAACTCCCAGAATTCTCCAGCCAACATGGCAGACTGAGGAATTCTTAAAATTGCCAAGATTGGAGACCCCTCTTCTAGGCTGTGGAAGGAGTCATGGTGGTATGGGGTATTGCAAGCAAACTCTGCCCATTGCCTGGAGTTCGATCTTGTCAGGGCTGAAGGTTGATTCAGCCTTCCAACCTTCCGAGGTTGGTAAAATGAGGACCCAAACTGTTGGGGGCAATATACTGACATTGTAAACCATCCAGATAGTACTGTAAAGCACTATGGGGCAATATATAAGTGCTACTGCTATTCTAACAATCAGTCAATGGGAAATCAGCCAAAAAAAAAAAAAAAAAAGCAAATTGTGGTCACATGGTATCTCACTTAACAACAGGCCTGTCAGTGCCAAATGTGTCTTTAAATGAGGACTACATGTAAAGGTAATAATACATATAGTATTATTTTGTACATTTTCAGGAAATTGTATTTAATTAGAATGGGAAACACTTCAGATTTCACTTTACAGGCAATATTTCCATATGAGGGTATAGGACCAATGTCTGTACAATGGATTAAAATCTTTTTCTAAACAGAAGGAGAACCAAACATTAATGGGGTCTTAGGCATAAGCAGTTTGGACATGAAGCAAAAACTGTCAGGAGGGGCACATTGTTCCAGTCTCTTTTTAAAAAATATTTTCAAGTCTTGGAGCTTGCTTAGAAATGACAGGAAGCCAAGTGAAATAGTTTGGGAGCCTGACTTCTGGTAACCTCATAAGTTACTGACCCTTTTCCTATACTGGTAATCCTGCAAAATAAAGTTGTTGTTGTTGTTGTTGTTTTTAAAAAAAAGACATTCAAACTCTCTGGGTGGATTTAAAACTAATTCTGTTTTTGTATTCCTTCAGATCAACTTTAAAGGCACTATTCTCTTTAAACCTGTCCTTGTGAATGCTGAAAGCTTTTTCCCCAAAGGCCTCTGCAGTCTTATTTCATTTTATATTAATTACCCCGAAACACACACACAAACAAACACACACACACACACACACACACACACACACACACACACACACACA